TCGCCAAACAACACAATAGCCTTTATTGTAATGATGGACAGAGAATCCCATCTGTGTGTGTGTGTGTGTGTGTGTGTGTGTGTGTGTGTGTGTGTGTGTGTGTGCATGAGACTGCCAGAGTTTACCTGTTGAATTTTCAGGACATCTGGCTCGACCAGAGACACGCTCTCCAGAGAAATGATCAAACGCACACACAGAGTAAAAAGCAGCAGCATCTTCAGCTCTCGCTCTCCTCCCGTCCAGATGCTCGGCCGTTTGCTCGTCTTTTGTGGCATCAAATTTTTCATCATGGTCAGTTTATTCCTGCAGAAGCAGGAAACTTTACCAGGATCTGACTGAGAACAGAGGAAGCCATGCAGACAGATGCGAGGACAGGAGGACATTTCTTCAGCATCTGGATTTCACCCAGCAACCGAAAGCGTGTTTTAATTAACACACACACACACACACACACACACACACGCACACACACACACACACACACACACACACAGCTTGGTACACGTTTCAGTTTTTGCTGCATGGCCTTAGGTGTCACTTCCATGTCAGAAAACAACTCACATGAAACAGACTAAACTCTTCCTCAGCATACTGACTTATAGTTTTTCATTTGCACAGATGTGATGCTAGAGTTTCAGTAAAACGTGGCCAATCAGCTGATACTGTAACTGTCCCACAAACTGTATGTACAGGATGGATGTAGCCCACAGCTTTGAAAAATAAAGCCAATGTGAAAGTTCCTTCAATCTGCATTCTCTCTAACAGCCAGCAGGAGGCGCTCCCCTGGTTGCCACACGTTAATGGTTCCAGTATCCAGTTTAAGGTCTTTTTCAGTGCAGCATGATGTTATTTTGTAGATTATGTCACATTTAGAGTAAAACAGAAAATAAGACTGAGCAGGGTCTCAGTCAGGTCCACCCTTTCCTACATTTTTGTGGTTTCAAAAAAAAAACAAGCATGATGATGAGCAAATTCCCAAAGCAAGGCTTCACTTTACCTTAAACCAATGTGTGGCGTCACAGTGTTTATCTGCAACGTACAGACTGTACGAAGGAGTCCAAGCCCCAGGCCAGCACCCACCTTTGTGGAGATTTTGGCGTAGTGGTCGAACTAGGGACGGCGGTAGAACTGAAAACTTTATCACAATAAAATGTTTAATTTCGGTGGATATCGATGATTACTGATCATATTTAACAGCCTGTTAATGACAAGGAAAACAAAGGTTCGACTTCAGTGCAACCACCCTACTCTCCAAGTCACCAAATAAACCCTGGAGGCACATGGAGAGCAACCAGAAAGCGTGAAGCTGTCTTGCCACTCAGAGATTAAGGTTCTGAGACCAAGACCGGGTGTCACCAGACAGGGACCCGACACCGGCATCTGCTCGCACCTTGACGTCAAGTCCATCAGTCCTGGGAGCGTCACTACATCACTAAGGTGGAGGAGCAGCCTCCACCAGCAGATGGACAGAGGTGGAGAGCGTTGCACCTCAGGAGACCTGCACAGAGGCCACAGGGAGGGCGACAGAGGGCGCTGTTATCCAGGGATACGATTGGCTGTTAATGACCCAGGGACAGAGCTGTGTTCGCTTTATTCATGCAACCAAACCTGACTGTATTATTGTGGTTTGCGCCTAATGCAGGAAACAGGCCGAGGCCAAACTGCTTTTCTCCTGCATTGCTTCCACATTCTTCACAACTGTACCAAGACGTGTTTCCCCCATACAGTCGCTTCTGTGAAATGACTCTTCATTCATCAGAATTTCATCCATTTGGTCATTCATGTGTGCAGGAAGCCCAGAGGACGTCAGCTACGCTCTGCTGAGGAGGACGCTCTGTGCATTCAGCATCAACAGACATTAAACTTGCTGTTCAAGCCACTAATAAAGTTCTATCTAATCTAAGACATGAAACCAAAACTTTTTTAAAGTCACAATTTGGGAACGGGAGTCTCCATGTTCTCCCCGTGCAGCGTGGGTTCTCTCCGGGTTCTCCGGCTTCCTCCCACAGTCCAGAAACATGCTGAGGTTAATTGGTGATTGTAAATTGTCCGTAGGTGTGAATGTGAGTGTGCTTGGTTGTCTGTCTCTAAGTGTAGCCCTGTGATAGACTGGTTACCTGTCCAGGTGAACCTGCCTTCACCCTGAGTCAGCTGGGATAGACTCCGCCCCCCCGCGGCCCTCGTGAGGATTAAGCGGTGTATAGATAATGGATGGATGGATGTTCTAATGCTTCTGAAAACAGACGACACGTTGGCCTTGGAGTGTTATGACTAAAGTAAGGGTGGCGATAGACAGCATTCGGCTTCTTTTAGATCTGAAGAACTATGCGGATTTCCTCCCATTGTAAAACTTTCTTTTACCTCAGCTTATTGAATCACTATCAGAATGAAAGCCAACACTGGACAGCTGGTCAACAAGCTATAAACATGGCTGATACTTTAGAAATGCATCTGGTTTCCCCCAGCAGTGCTGATATCCAGCCTCAAAGAGCATTACATTTTAAGAGAAGCCATGTAATACTTGGTGACATCAGGGCACGGGCTGTACGCCAAATCTCCATGAATCCACGTGGAGCTTTGAGCATGCTTAAGCAATCATGACCTGGCATAAGGACCATGTACGTAATCAATTATTCATTTGGAAGGTGGGGGAAGTCGGCCCATCTGCTGAGGGGAGCAGTCCTGGCTGAGTTATTGAGCTGTGGGCTGTTCTGCTGCTTAATAATGATCCAGCGATGTATTGCTCCGTCGCATGGACCAGACGCAGTCAATCAGGTTGAAGTCGCTGCATTTCAATGTAAACCACGGCGGTTATTCGTAAATACCAGCTCAAGTTCTGCTGCCGTGATACAAGTTTGTTGGCTTTTATCCGTTTGGAACAGGCCACCAAACTGATCCACACAAGCTGGTGGCACCTTGTTGATCTTGTCTGGATGGATGATGTTTTATTTCTGTTGATGAGCCACCTGTGGAGGTGACACACTGCTCGTTGTTAAAAACGAGACGCACATTACTTTTGAAAAGAACCCTGTTGTGAGCATTACTTACTATTTGCACAATTCTCTGATTTAAATCCGCTGTCAGTCCTACGGTCCTGAATCCGACATCGCTCATATCAAATCTGATCAACAGCAAATGAGACAGTAGCGTTGAGCCTGGAGATGTTAGACTGTGACTTAGAAACAGTGCAGAGCACATCCAGGGGGGACTCACTGGAATCAGTCTGGTCCTGTACAGTTTAATTTATCATACACCAGATAAAACAAATTCTAAATCCATACGTTGATTCATAAAAAACCATGTGCTGAGCTGACTGAGTGATCCTGGAGCTACGCTGCACCCTAGAGGCCAGGGGAGTACGGTGCAGTCACTGCTGCTGCATTTCACTGGAACCACCTTCTGGCCTGTTTCAAGAGTTTGGAAGAGGCCAGACTCATGTAGCACCAGTACCTGGACCAAAGTCGAATGATCAGGCCTGAATGTTCCCAAATGAGCATTTAGACAGAGCGTGAGCTGAATCTAAACGATTGCACTCTGACTACAAATGTAAAGTAGAAGCAGCAGTGCAGCTGACTGCCAGACCCCTCTAATGACCATCTACTCATTTCTCTTCACCGTAACACTCATACGGTGCATTTCATAAGCTGGAAGACACGCCATGATTGAAAAAGCAGTCAGTGCCACTAAATCGATGACGGGCTCAAAACGTCGGGGTCTCAGTCTGAGGAACCGGTCCAGTCAACCTGCAGGGTTTCTGCTTCCTGGTCAGAACGCATATGGCTGCATTACTCCAACATTACAACTTGCCATTGTGTAGCATCGAGGTGTTTTCCAGTATTTAAGCTGAGCAGCAGGGGAGCTGGCGTGCTGGAGCTGCTGCAAATGCTACGGAGTGGAGGGAGGCCGAGTGAGGAGCTTCAGAGATCTGCATATTATGAAGAAAGGAGCAGTGTAGAGTTACGTCTGAACCGCTTTAGGGCAGAGAAGGATTCGCGTAAGACACTTCTGAACTCACACAGAGGTTCACTTTGATGACGCATGACTTCGATATTTACATGAAGTGCTTAAACTGATCCACAGCAGCATTAAAACCTCCCGTCTAAACCTGCCACTAAAAGACTGACTTATCGGAGCATGAACACAGAACCTCTGGGCTGTGCTACGGCCTCAGGTACCAGGATGTCCGTCATGGATCCTTTGGGTCTTGTGGGCTGCAGAGTGGGGGCTCTGCAGATCCTCTGGCACTTCCCACAGACACTCAGTCAAATTAAGATCTGGAAATTCAGAAGCCTGAGCAAAGCCAGGGACTTGTTATCGTGCTCCTTGAAGTGTCCCTGAGCAGCTTCTGTGGTGGTCGCTGTGCCGTGTGCTGCCCTGGCACTAGGGGGCGTGACTGGTCTTCAGCAGTGTTTATGTCAAAGCTAGATCCACGTGAACGCTCAGACCAGAGGGTTTTGAGCAGAACACTGCATCATAACAAAGCGATCAACGTCACTCTCTTCACCTGTCAGTGGTTTGAATCTTCTGATTGATGAGAAGTACGAGGTGGAGATAAAGTTTGAAGATGTACCAGAAAGGAATACGGGAGGGAAAAAGGTATCTGCTGAACTCTGGTATGAAACATTGTGCTGTGCTGCCATCTAGTGGTACAACACCAAACATACAACACACTTACCTGGTTTAGCTTCGAGGCTCCAGCCCCCTGCGACCCCAGTGAGGAATAAACGGTGTGTAGATGATGGATGGAAGGTTTAGCTGCTATTGCTAGCACAGTGCACATCATGTCTCCTCACAGCTCACTTTGCAGCTTGCTGCTCTGCAGATGTGTCGCTATGTTTAGAAAACAGATCAAGAGGAATGCAGATCTGATATGGTACCTCTGAAACACAAATCTCTTCATAGGGGATTTCAAAAAACTTCTCACTTGAATCCAACAGCAGTCACTGATCCTCTGCAGGCAAAACACCTCAACAGCAGCCAAACAAAAGAATGACGAAGAATTGACTCCTACTGTAGCAAAGCTTTACTGAATCATCATCAGGAATCCCAGAAAAAAAATACGTTTATATAAAATTGCATTGAGACATCACGATGTCTGCATGTTTCCAGTCTGATCAGTAATACGGTTCCTACCTCTTTTGTCATTGGAAAACACCTCAAAGTCGAAATTCTTCCTCAGAACGTAGAAACTATACTGCCGACGTAATTTTAAAAAAATAGTCTAGTTGTCCCTACAGCCAGCTGATGGCGTTCGGCTGACAGCACATGACAGGTGTACGCTACAACACTTCTGGACAACAGGTGACATCTGAACAGTGACACTGAGCAGTAGCATTCATACATGTCGCCGCTAAGACGTGTTCAAGACACAGTGAAACCATCGCCACACTGAAAACACCTACAGACACAACTCCAGACGTAGTAATTACATGATGAGATAAAAAAAGCATGAGCACTAACACGCTACCATTTAAGAGTCAGTGTCGTATACTTCATGAGTCAGAACGTGTAGGAGGACTTTACACATGTACAAAATGCGCTTTTAAGATATTTCACATTTTCCTCCAGTTATAAACTACGTCAGCGACAGTGGCTTCAACAAGCTGCAGGGCTGGAAAGGTGATGTCTTGGTAGCGTAGCGTCTCCAGCATTCCTAGATGAGACCTTCTGAACACATTCATTGACATAAGGCAGGTAGCTGCTACGACATTAAGACCAAGGAGCTGGATGTCTGCACAGCTCCCTAAACTCCAGTCAGCAGTTTGTTAACTACACAGCTTAGACTTCTGGCATCGACACGCCCAGTTTAAAAGGTCATTTCAATCTGTATGAAAGCTACTGGACAAGTGAAACAAAGGGGAAAGGTTTAGACGAAATGTTAAAACTTTAAATTAAAAGCTGTGATAGAGTTTTAAAAAGGGGGGACGAAAACAGTGAGATGTTGAATCCGCGTGATGCTGGTACCAGAAGTCCTGCGATGGGCATTTTAAAACTCCAGAAATAGACAAAAAGGATAATAAAAATGTTCTTCATCGTCATCCATTGCAAAAAAATATTCTTTCATGGTCCAGTGTTGAAAAGAAAATCCAGCGAAGCTTCACATCCAGCGGCTGCAACAGACACATGAGAACTGAGAAAAGCTTTGTGGTGGCTGCAAGGACAGCAGCGTATCACAGCCACGGGTTTCCTCGTGTGAAGAGTCCCATTGTGTTTTGGAGAATCAACATTTTATCACTTGTCTTTTCAGTCCTTCATCCAGTGTACTGCAGCAGCTCTACACAGATCCAGTGGTTCAAAGCGCCAGCGCTACGACGGCGTGACTCCAGGAAGGGGGATGGGGCAGCGAAAGAGACGACCTGCTGCTCGAGTCACGGTACGCCGTTAGCCAGGGGCTCATGGGTTTTCTGCAACATATGTTGACTTCTGTACCAAACATTTTCTCATCAACAAAGGTGAAGGAGACAGAGGTGTGGTGGGCTGGAGGGGTTCAGTAAATGGCACGTCACTAACGGTGAAACACAAGCAGGACATCACAAGTTAGGTGCCGTTAAGATGTTAAGACTGGAACTAAATGTTTGCTTTTTACCAAACTAAGCCATGCGATGGTGTTTACTATTGTTGATCTGTGGCCTTGGTCCATCTGTCTGGCAGTGTGGGGTTAGAACTGTGGGCTTGGAAGCTGCCTCTTCCTTTCAGCTTTCTCACAGCGTCCGTCCAGCACACCTGACCCAGCCTGTTGGTGTGTGGGTGGCTGAGACGGTGAAGTAGGAAAGCAGTCAGGAAGATGAATGCTGTGATGCCGGCTACTCATTTCTTCATCAGAGCTCAGTGGTCAAGAGACCTCTGGGTTTGGCTCCATCCTCCGAGGCTGGCGGCTGACCCACAGTGCTGTGGACACAGGAGCAGAAGGACGGTGAAGCTACTGCAGCACAGACGGACTCTACTCACTGGTAGCAACTTGAAACACACAGTTTAGAGTCGACTGAATAAGTCTGTGCATGTGTTCTGAAAGTGCATAATCAAATCATGTCTAACAAGCTGTGCTCAAACACACAGAAACAGAAGTCCTGCATCGTAGAGCGTCCAGCACACAGTCCATGACTCAGCTCTGCTTATGCATGTTTTCAGTGCAACACTGGTTATGACTGATGCTGCTCTATTGTGTGCATGAGATACGACACAACAGTCTGCTTCTTGGCAAACTAATGGTGGTTGGGCCCTGTGCTAACACCAAACCATCTCAGCCACCAGGAGGCGCTACAAAATATTTTGTTTTTGAAGCAAGAGCAAGCACAAGGTCTGCATAGACTCCCAGCACGTTAAGAATTGAAGACCCCGTGGATTTGTTTGGCGTTTCATGTCATCACAACAACAGCCTCAGTAGCAGCAGGTTGTGTGACCAATGTGGCTCTCATCACCATCAGCGGTGCTGGTTCGGCCACAGGTCCGAGCTCTGTGGAGACGTTCAGACATGCTGGGAAGTTCAAGACTAATGTGAAGCCCGGGTACGGTGTGTGCTTCAGTGCAGCCTTTTCACTGGCTTCCTTCTCTCCTACTCTCTGTGCTCACTATCCCACATTTTAATACAGCTGATAAAGCTGTTCCCATTTACACATTATTACTGATATATTATTGTATATTAAGCACAAAGTGATGCCATAATGTAGACATGAGGACTTGTTCTCCACTGGTACCCTCAAGCTGCTGCTCAGCACCACTGAACTACTGACCAAAGCACCGCACCTATTGGTTAAGACAGCATCTGAATTCAGCTGTTTCTGTAAAATGAGCGCTCAGAGATGCATATCCTGGTGTCACACACTCGTTTACATCAGTCGTCATGCTGCTCACAGGTGCAGAGTCTTCTAGAACACTGAAGCAATTGATTTAAAACAGAAACCACGGACTTATGGTCCACTGAACCATCTCTGTAGTCACCAAAATGGCTGAGAAGGTCATTGGGTGCACCCTGCCCACACTGGAGGACCTTCATGGCTCTTAATGCCTCAGGAGAGCCGACACCATCCTGAAGGACTCCTACCACCCGGGACGTTCTCTGTTTGAGCTGCTGCCGTCGGGCAGACGGTACAGGGCCATCAGAACCAGGACCACCAGACTGAAACACAGCTTTTTTCCTACTGCTGTGAGAACAATAAATGCCTCCCTGTCGCAATAATGTGCTTTCAATACACAACTCCAGTGCCTCTGGCCAATATCCAGTCTGTGCAGTATACACCATGCTCATTATTTCACTTCATCTTTTATACAGAGTTCTTTCTGCTTGTTTTTTCATATATAGATTTCCTTTATATTGTTTACAGTGTTTTACAAAGTTCCAAACTGCTTGAACAATTAGAGACCGATTTCAAAACTGAAGAAGGAATTGCTTTTTTAAACAATCATGACATTTTTGAAACATTTCAGTCCGGTTTCAGAGCAAAGCCCGGCACAGAGACGGCACTACTTCAAGTTTTTAATGAGTTGCTAATTGCTGCTGATGCTGGAAAATCTTCTGTTTTAGTTCTTTTAGATCTGAGTGCTGCCTTTGATACTGTCCATCATCTTATTTTACTGGAACGTTTGAAACACTGGGTTGGCATTTCTGGTTCCGCTATAAACTGGTTTTATTCTTATCTGCATGGCAGGTCTTTTAGCGTCGCCATTGGCAGCTCACAGTCATCTTGTATCACGCTGACCTGCGGGGTTCCCCAGGGGCCGGTCCTCGGACCACTCCTGTTCTCCCTTTACTTGTTGCCCCTGGAACATATCATCCGCAATCACAACCTGAGTTTTCACTCATATGCGGATGATACACAGCTGTACCTGTCTTTTAACCCCAATGATTTTAACCAATTACAGTCTCTGAACAGCTGCATCCAGGACCTGAAATGCTGGACGGCTCAAAATTTCCTCCAGCTGAACTTAGACAAAACCACAGTAATGATTATTGGTCCTGGTTCAGCCACAACAGCAGCACACTGAGGTTCATTATCCTGTAATATAGCTGCACAATGTAAACGTCTTGGGCTCATCTTTGATGGAAACCTGAACCTGAACCAGCAGGTCAGCTCAGTCTTGTTTTATGCAGCTCAGGAGACTCTCTGAGGTGAGGTCAGTTCTATCCAGACATCATTTAGAAATTGTTCTTCATGCTTTTATCTCATCTTGTTTAGACGACTGTAACTCTCTGTGCACTGTTCTGAACCAGCAGAGTCTTCACAAACTACAGCTGGTCCAAAACGCAGCAGCCCGACTCCTCACCAGATCCAACAAGAGACATCACATGACTCCTGTTTCAGCTTCCCTTCACTGGCTACCAATTCATTTTAGAACAGATTTTAAGATTTTATTGTTAACCTATAAAGTACTCTCTGGACTGGAACCTCAATACATTTCTGATCTCCTCACCCCGTATGTGTCCGGTCGTAGCCTGCGGTCCTCAGCCGAGGTTCTGCTCACCGTCCCACAGCCGAGGCTGAGGACCAAAGGTGACCAGGCCTTTTCTGTCAGAATCCCACCCTCTGGACCAGCCTCCCTGAGGAGATCAGATCTGCAGCACTTCATCCTCCTTTAAACTCTTTTAAAAGCACATCTTTACAGACGTGCTTTTACAGGATCTGTTCTATGAGCGGACTTTTACTCTGATGGCAGCATTAAGGGCAGAACATTTTACCTTCTGTTTTATTCCTTTATTGTCTCTTAATGGTCTTCTTTTACTGGGTTTTATTCCGCTTATATATTTTTATATTGTTTTATTGTCTTTCATGCTTTATGTGTTTCACCTTCACCATTTTTTATTTATTTATTTGTGTATTTTTTGCTTTTTACTTCTTTTAATGTTGTTTAATGTTGTTCTTACACTTCTCTTGGAATCTGTGCAGCACTTTGTAACCCTGTTTTGAAAAGTGCTATATAAATAAAGTTTATTATTATTATTATATTTCTGTTTTTTTTCTTTTGCACTGAAAGGACTGCACCTTGCATTTGGTTGTACTCGTTACAATGACAACAAAACAAATCTGAATCTAGTATTCTGAGCACAATACGGGATCTTTTAGTGAGCTCAGGATTTGTCAAGCAACAAGTCAGAACACAACACAGCTTGCTTCAGAACCAAGCTTCATCCAGCGAGGGTGTAGCTGCAGAGACCTTTACCTGGCAGAGGTACGTGTGTGAGCGAGGTGGGGAGGGGCTGGGGTGAGAGCTGCTGCCCCATCTGCAGGGAGAGGGCAGGTGGCCTTAGGAGGGGGGTCAAGGTCGAGCAGGCCGTTAGTAAAGACGCCGGGAGGCTGCGTTAGAAGGGATGAGGAGACGTAAAGAGGTCAGTCTGCAGAGCCTCTACTTCAGCCAACGTGTGCAGCCACTATGCCAGTGCACGGGGAAAAAATTAAACCTTGTGTCACCAATCTCAGGAAAATAAATGCAAACTGAGATATTTAACTGCACGTCACATTTGTTTATACTGTTTCACAGGGAAGGTGTGGAGAAGGAGGCAGATATAAAACCAGACAAGCAGCTGAGCATAAGAAAGGCTACGGCGGGAACTCACAGCAGTCGTGGGAATGATCCATCGAGGTGTGATGAGAGGTTTGGCCGGCTGCGCTGGTGGTAGCTGCAACGCAACAAGAAGCCTGCTGTTATATCGGTCACACTACGGCCTCGTGTAACCTCAGACACAGGGACTGACTGACATACGGACACATCATGACACCACATCGCTGAACACCAACAACACAACACAGCAGCAACTCGATGCTTCTCTGGAGCTCATCTCTCTGTCACTCTCTATTGTCAGTGCAAAACTGAATATCCATAAATGCTGTTTCAGATCTGCTGAATTCCCTACAAGTAGGAGCATCTGGTTCAGTGTAGGGCTGCCGACACGTCTACGATGTCAGCACAGTGGGTATATATATGTGTATATATGCACTGAAAGCCGTCCTGCTGTAGAGGTACTTGTCATTATAAAAACTCTCCTCATTTCAGGATACAGTGCATGCAGTCAGACTCACCGCAGGAGTTGGATCAGTGAAGTCAATCAGGTTGTCAGACAGAGCAGCAGCGGGCTGCAGGTCCACCTCCTCTGCTTTGACCTGCAGCAAGATGCAAGAACTCTTCACCACAGCATAGCAACAATAACACTAACGTACCCACCTCCTGTTTCAGATCACTACTGTAGAACTGTTCATGTGCATGGATTCAGAAGGTGTAGGGCTGCAGGCACCCAAGGAAGATCTTGGTCGACTGTAGTCTTACTATTGCTCAGCGAATCGACTGATCGGAGGAGGGACTACTGAACTAAAGCTACAGCAGTGACTCATTTATTTTGACCATTCCCATCGTGACGTTATTTTACACATTGAAGAGCGATGAGGCTTCACGGCTTTAGGTGCTGCTAGTGGCGGCCTGCTGGAACCATTATTAAAGCAAACATAATGAACCGGGCCACATTCTACTGTGTCGACACTCAAAACGTCAAGCTTCAAACACAGAACGTTTTTAGATGTGTGCCGTGGCGTTTATTGAGCTGCGACATGCAAACTGCTGCAGAGTTTATACGTGACTCCAGCAGACCAGGAGGCTGCAGGAGGACAAATAAGAGAGCAGAAAAAAAACATGTGGCTGAACAGAACCAGAACGGTCATCAGTCACGCTCTTGGTTAACTGCAGCTCCTCAACTGTTGTAATGGTACAGCCCACCGTTAGTACCACAGTGTGTTCTTGTTCTGTGTGTCACATCAGAGGTGCTTTATGGGATGTTCGAGGTAAATGTACCTGCAACCAATGGCTTCAAGTAATGAAATGAAAAGTTATAAACAGACTCCTTTCACACGTGTTTCATGGCTGCGAGCTCCATAGTAACCAAACAACAGCCATCGAACTAGCAGCAGGTAATCCTTACCTTTGGTGCCAGACCTTCAGTGGCAGACTCAGAGGGCATCTTGGGAACAGAGGGGCTGAAATCTTCAGCTAACCTCTCAGCGCTGCAGAATGGTGAAAAGAAGTTTAGGTCAGCAAATATTCCTGATTCACTTTCAGGTTCCTCATGTTTGAGATGAAGTAGGACATAGCAAAAATAAACACATTGACTTTGTACATTGTGTTTTTTTTCTTGTTTGTATGATTAATGAAATTCCTAAGTCTGAGCCTGACACATATCCCGAGGAGCTCTCCTGGAACCCTAACCCTAACCCTAACCCTAACCCATGGGAGCTGAAGCAGCAATCCAGGAGCCACAGCTGGTTTTCAGAAATAACACACACAGAAAACATTGTTTTTGCTCGATACATGCCTTAAATAATTCAACGGTACTCCACACTGCTCTTCATTAAATCCCCTGACTGACTTCAAAACATTGTGTGTTTCAGTGAACCTGACTGCAGCCTCCACACTG